CCTAAACCTAAACCCCAAAACCCCCAAAACCATGCCGAATGCCTTTTCTGCCACCCCAAATGCCAACATGGCCCAAGGGCTCGGCATGGTCGGAGCCCATGGTCCCCAGAGACTCCAATATCCCTTAATTAAGGAATCTACCTTAAACCTTAAATTAGAATAGGAACCCTATATTCCTTAATTTAGGAATCTACCTTAAACCTTAAATTATAATAGGAACCCTATATTCCTTAATTTAGGAATAATTGAGGAATCTACCTTAAACCTTAAATTAGAATAGGAACCCTATATTCCTTAATTTAGGAATCTACCTTAAACCTTGAATTATAATAGGAACCCTATATTCCTTAATTTAGGAATCTACCTTAAACCTTAAATTATAATAGGAGCCCTATATTCCTTAATTTAGGAACATTGGAGTCCCTGATCTCCTCATCACCACTGCCACCCCTTCGTCACCAACCCCTGCGCCGCCTTGTTGACTTGCACTTCTGTTCAGGACCGAAAGGTGCCCACTTGTCTGCGGGCTGGGAGCCCACCATCTCACAGACGTTAAAGGAGTCAAAGGGTTGACAAACATCCTTCACGGAGTCGTAGAAGCAACGGCACACGCAGTGGGTTATGCCCATACCTCGCAGACTTAAGTTGAGATTGTTTTGCGTTGATTGAGACTCTTACCTCCTCCCCGTGGGACCCGAAGACACGCGGAAACACAAAAGAGGAAATACAAAAACAGCTCCCTGGCCCAAGCAGGATGCAGGAGATCTCGCCGAGCACGCCTTGTACCAACATCAAGAGGTCGTCAACGGGACGCTTCAAGGGCCGCGGCCGTTCGCCGGGCACCTGCAGCTCCATCGTGGGGTCATAGGACTTCTTTGCATGAAAGTCCACCTCATCCTTGAATGACCGGAAGTCATAAAAGCTAGGGTATTTCCCTAGGCCCCACACCCGCAAGTAAAGATGTAAGACACGTTTTGGAAGCAACCAAGCATCGTGGTCCACTGTCTTCTGTGTGCCCTCGCTGTTGAGGAAGTAGTGTAAAAACCTGTAGCCCTCCTTGTGCTCATAGATCTTGTGCCCTGCAGAACGGAACCAACCCGACTTGGTCTCTCCCACCACCGGGTTCGTCTCCATGCGGAAATACAGGGCCTCGTCCTTGGAGTAGTGGCTAGATCCGAAGTGGTCCTTGTTTGCACGATAGGCCTGCCACCCCGTGATGAAGATGGTGGGCATGCCGTTGATCCTCTCGGGCGCCACCATGGCATCCGGCAAGATGCGGTACCTCGTGTCCAGGCCATCGATCTCGAGGTATGGAGGCCACTCCTTCATGGATCCCTGCTTACGGAACGTCACATTCGCAGAAAGCCATTGCAAGGAGCGCTGCTTCCCGGAGGCCCACATGGTCGAGAGGGAGAAGCTTGGAATTTCGACGATCTTCACTGCATGTTCTGCTGTATGTTTCTCTCGCACGGCGGAGACCTCCCCTATCGCCAAGAAGAAGATGAATGCACAAGCCAACCTCTGGCAGGCTGTGCGCTGTCCGGCCATGAGAGTGTCACAGCCGAGTCAACATTCGCAAACAACGTCAGGCGATTGAAGTTTGTAAGCAGGTTTGAGCTGGAGGGGAAGCGGCGGAGAACGGCAGAGATGCCGAAAGGCTGCTGCATTAGTTGGGTCATCATCCGAGACTTCCACACCCAAATTGTTGGAGTTTCTGTCTTATGGATGTCCCACCCCCGTGCCCTCCACCCCCCCCCCCTGCGGGGTCACAGCGCCTCGAATATTCGGAATGAACGCCTAGAAATTCTCATGGAGAAGCCGACAGAGCCACTAGAGGGGCTTTACCCTGCTACATTGGGGTGTTCCTTGTTATAGTTATTGTACAATATACCCCAAAACTCTATTCTAATGATTAAGGCCCCTATATGACCTAATTGGACCCGAAGCCCCTAAGCCCTCAAAGCCGTGCCGGAGCCCACGCCCGCGTTGCATTCGGAGGTTTAGCAGAGCGGCTGAACCAGTACGCAGACAAAGCCCACAAAGAAGATGGCGCAGAGGAGCCAAAACATCAAGTTCCACTCACCTCATATAGGGGCAGTCAGAATGAGTTGTGGGCGTTCATGCTTATATGTCAGCTTTAAGGGATATTGTTGCTAGTTCTCCAGACTTCTAAATTAGGCTCTCGGCGGGAGTTCGAAGACTGAGGCTTTCAGCCAATGGTTTTGGGGCTCTCGCAAAATCGATGATAACTTCAAGCCCTACACGCCCCCAAGCCCTGCCCTGTGATGTGATCTAGAAGTTTTTAAGCCATTTTTTTCCTAAACATCTCGGGCTTAGGGTTTAGGGCTTAGGACTAAGAGGCGACGTCTGTAACCATCATTTTTTCCCTTAAGGACGAAATGACCCTTAGAAGTAGGGGCCCTCTACCCTTATACTATGAATTCCTATATGGCATGTGCCCCTTAAACCCTTTTAGGGTGCATTTCGTCCTTAAGGCCACAGTACTCCTTCACACATCCCTCCCCACATAAAAAGAGACCAGAGGCAGCTTCCGGCTTGCTAGCAGCAGGGCTTAAGGCTTCTAGGGCTTCTCGGGTTTGGGGTTTTAGGGCTTAGGGTTTCGGGTTTCGGGCTTAAGGGGTTAGGGTTTAGGGTTTAGGGGATTAGGGTTTAGGGTTTAAGGGTTTCTTGGGGGTTTGGAGTTTAGGGTTTATAGCTAGCTTGAGGCTTGCTAGCAGCAATTTCGTCGAAGCAGGCAGGAACCACCTACATCTATATCTGTATCTGTATCTATACATACAACTGAATATAAAATCAGACTAGACTACATCCCCTAACCCTGTCCGAAAATATCTTCAAAATCCAATACCAGCGGGCATGCAGGGGAGTGGGGCATTAGCATTCCAGCAAATCTGAACCCCCATCGCGAAACCCTACACCAACCCTCAATGTTGAACCCTGGACCCGGAGAGCCCTCAACCCTAAACCTTAAACTCTCAACCCTAAACCCTAAACTCTCAACCCTAAACCCTAAACTCTAAACCCTAAGCCCTAAACTCTAAACCCTAAACCCTAAACTCTAAATCCAAAACCCAAAAAACCCTAAAAAACCGAAAGCAGCCCAGGCTCCTTGGCCCTTGTCGCAGAAGCTTGCCCCCTTCAGCGACTCCAGTATATTCTGCCTTTCCCTCTGCACCCGCCGTGCACCTTGGATTGCCGTCTGCCTGGGCATGGGTATAGCTTGCTTCCCAGAGACTCCAATATCCCTTAATTAAAGAATGTACTTTAAATTACAATAGGAAACCAATAAGATGTAAGATATAGTCCTGAATTAAGGAGCATTGGAGTCTCTGGGTTTATGCCAGACCAAGATTCTAAGATTAGTCTTCGAACCTCTTCGCTGCGGGCAGTGGGACTTTGTAGCCCTGCCTGGAACCATAAGCCCTCGACCCTAAACCCTAAACCCAAGTAGCCGTAGGTATCACACAACCCATATAGAACTTGGAACTGCGAGCTCACAGGGCCTTATATTATGCCACTATAAGAACCCTAAATACTGTAGACGATATAAATCATGCACTACAGTACCTTAAGGACCCTAAACGATGGGAATGATTTTGGCATAATCCTTGTTATGGGTAATGCAGGATATACATCATCAACCGCTGCAATTCGTACGGGGGCCTTGATAATTAGAATAGGGTTTGCGGTATGTTCTACTAGAATATAGTAAGGAACCCCCAAAACCCTATTCTAATTATTATTAAGGCCCCTACATGAACCATTGTAGAAGCCTATAGACTGCCTTAAGGGGAAGCCGAGGGGCAGTGCCACGGCGCAGGTGATATGCGCTAAGCCGATGCTGAGGAGACCCTCCCAATCCATGGAGCCGTGCCCAACCATTCCTGAGCTATGGGGTTGAGGGTATAGGTTTAGGGTTTAGGGTTGAGGGTATGGGGGTTTAGATTGTAGGATTCAGTGGTTTGGGGGTTTGGGGTTCAGGGTTTGGGGCATCGTGTCTAAGGGTTCATGTACCGACTGCTATATCTGGACTTGGGCCCTAAGACGGTTCGTGTATACATATATAGATATATATACATACATACATACATACATACATACATACATACATGCATACATACATACACAGATAACCCTGAGCTTGCGATGGGAAGTTTGAGGGACTTGTAGACGTTAATGGTCTGGAATAGCCGTCGATGATCATTATTCCAGGACAGAGGTCTGCAGCTAATCTAGGGCATAAATAATTACCGGGATTCCTTATGATAGCTCTAGTATAACATACCCCACAACAACAGTCTAATTATTAAGGCCCTCTTGTTAGGTCAGGGTTTCGGGAAACGCTAGCACAAAACTTTTAAAACGATTTGGGGATTCAGGGTTTAGGGTTGAGGGCCTAGGGTTTAGGAAGAGGCTTTTCGTGCTTCAGGTTCAAGGGCTCTGAAATCTCGGATCAGGGTGTCGGCTTCGTGTTCGGGGTTGGGCAGAAAGAAAACGTCTTTGCACGATCTGCGGGGATACTGTTGATGATATGAATCCTGCAATACCCATAAAAATGAAGAGACAAGAATTCCCATAGTTTAGGTTTATATCATCAACAGTAGTAGTAGTAGTATGGGAAGAACATAGCACCCGATGTTCATCGGTTTTCCTTTGTTCAAGTCGAGGAAGCAAGCAAAAGCTACAAACATTCTATGTTCCAATTAACACGACGGTTCCGGGGAGGTCGCAATTATGCATCCGAAAAATGGGCATGCTAAGATGGACGCGCATCCCGAAGAACACAGCCCCTCCTCAGACCGCTGATGGACAGTACAACGTTTGGGATTACTCAATCCTGTCTCTCAGAAGGCTTTATTGTTTTGTATCAATCCTATACTATACTCTATCCCGGAACTGTTCCGCAACCTTCGAACAAGATGCGATTCAAAGCGAAGACCGTGGTCCGCGCCTCTGGTGATGCTGAGTCCAGGATGTGTCGGGGTCAGCGTTTGCTGCGACTGAAACTCGGGTGCTTGGAGTCGATGGAAAGTAGGAAGAGGCATTGAGCTCTTGTCTGGTCACTCAGCTGCCAGCAGCAAAGCTAGGACTATAAACGTGTCTCTCGACAGGCTCAAAACCTACGCGCAGGACAGGTTGAATAAAGAGAAAGACAACAATTGAAGGGGAAGACCTCACATCCCGCAGCATTGAGCTGCGAAGCCTTGAGCTGCTACTAGCAATGCATGTTCAAAGCATAGCATTAGAGACCCATTGTCATGATTTGACGACTCTTGCACAAATGAACGCCAAACAAACAGCTGAACAGGTACTATGTTACAGGATTAATATATATATATATATATATATGTATATACTATAATATATAGATAGATAGATAGATAGATAGATAGATAGATATACATATCTTTACATATTTATATTTACATGTATGTTTATATTTATATTTATGTATGTATTTCATTGATTTATATGTATAATATATATGTATATTATATATATATATACACTCTCACTTTTTATGTTACCATAGTATGTTGTAGTATATTGTACATTATTGTATGATTATGGTATACCATAGTACATTCTAGTAACGGGGAGTCCCAAAGATCCCATCAGCAGCATGAACAACGCAATCCCTACACCCTAAGCCGTCAAAGCGAAAGAAAGTTTAGGGCTTAGGGCTTTAGGCTTTAGGGTTTAAGGAAAGCCTGAGTTTCATACACCCCAAGACCCTATTCTAACTGAGTATTAGAGCCCCCTACATTCGGAGAATACCAGGACCCCCCTTAAAAAGAAGCCTGCAGCTTTGTGCAATTCGTGATGAAGCTGATGCAGATGATGCGTAGCAGAAGCTGTCGGAGCCTTTCGGGTTTCACTTCAAGGGTTTACATAGCTCTTGGGGGGTTCGAGGTTTGAGAGTTAAGGGCTTAGGGTTGAGGGTTTAGGGCTGAGGGTTGAGGGTTTAGAGTTTAGTGGTTTGCGGTTTTGAGGGTTCAGGGCTTAGGATCAATCTTCTTCTTTTGTGAGAATGTGGATTTCTGTGAGGCTCACAGGTTCTCTATGTGCAGCTTCGGAATGTCGAATCGCCTACTTGGAGGTTCATGGGTAGTCCACCTGGCTAAAGGACCCGATGACTGTTGCTTCGGGACTCCCTGGACCATGCGTGTTTAGGGTGTAGGGGTTCAGGGGTTTAGGGTTTAGGGTTGAGGGTTTTTGGGGGTTTAGGGTTGAGGGGTTTTGGGGTTTAGGGTTGAGGGGTTTTGGGTTGTGGGGTTTAGGGTCTAGGGTATTGGAATTAGGGTTCAAGGGCTTTAGGATCCATTCTACAGGGTCCTGCGCTTCGGATCTGCAGGGCTTGACCTTCTTTTGTTGGTCTTGCTCCAAAGGATAGCCCAAGAAGCTCCAGCTTCAACCCTAAACCCTGAGCCCCCCAAGGCCCCCCAAGGATGTTAATGTAGGGGCCTTAATAAGAAGAATAGGGTTTTGGGGTTTCCTTATTGCAAGTATAGTATAGTATACACCAAACAATATTCTAATTATTCCCCGCCACCGAAAAGATCTACCTTTTCGGGGGGGTCCTTATTATGGTTCCTATATATGATTCCTTAAAAAGGTAGGTCTTTTCGGCTACAGGTAAGGCCCCTATATTATCCAAGAAGCTCCATGCTGAGGATCTGGAGTGCTCTCGGATAGTCCGGCTTCTCGTTGGAGAGCTCCTTGGATTTATCGCACAAGCTGCCCGAGAAGAGGCTATGTATGGTGTGCCGCCTACTGTGAATTTAGGGTTTAGGGTTTAGGGGTTTAGGGTTTAGGGTTTAGGGCTGCTTTCTGGGGCTTACAAAGAGCACAAGAAATTCTCCCGAATCCTGATCAATCCTATCGCTCGATGATCGCCCTCGCTGCTTTGTGGCACACTTATGCAGACTTACTCGGTTCCTGCTGCTTCAGATAAAGGCGGACCACTAAGCCGGAAAGCACGGTTCCGATGCCTGCGAGAGCTTTCATGCTTCGGTTCGCTTCGGGTTAGGCGACCCTACACAACAGTGCCTCAATAAGATCGATTGTGGTGCAAAGCTAGGCGAATGAACGCTGCTCTAAGTTGGACTCCCTCTCAGGGTCTGTATCGGAATCAGTATCAGCTTGGTGAGCCAGAAATAAGCCACCTAATGCGGACCCTCACCCTACATCCTACCTGTAGTCTCCATTGTAGTTCCTTTTTGGGGTTACCTTTTAGGATCCTTAATATAGAATTGGTTAAACCAAAAACATAAAAAGGAACTAAAATGGAGACTATAGGTACACCCGAAAAAGGCAGAACAAAAACTGGGTGTTGTGACAACCCTAAACCCCAAACCCTAAAAACCCTAAAAACCCTAAAAACCCTAAACCGTGTGGAGGCTCCGCGTCCGCACGCTGGATGCTCAACTCGAGGTGCCCCAGGCTGCATGTGGCCATCTGGTTGGAGCTCGCCAGCGACTGCAAGGTTTAGGGTTTAGGGTTTCGGGTTTAGGTTTTAGGGTTTAGGGTTTGGGGTTTAGGGTTTCGGGTTTAGGCTCTAGGGTTTGGGGTTTAGTGTTTAGGGTTTAGGGTTTGGGGTTTAGGGTTTCGGGTTTGGGGTTTAGGGTTTGGGGTTTAGGGTTTGGCGTTTGGGGGTTTAGGGTTTAGGGTTTAGGGTTTGGGGTTTAGGGTTTGGGGGCGACTGCAGGGGGAACCGCCCAGAGACTCCAAAACTTCTTTTTAACTCGGGAACAGACCTTAAATGACAGTATGCATCCGCCAATATTTAACTGAAGGTCTATTCCTGATTTAATGGATGTTGCAGTCTCTGGGCATTGTGCCCTTAACCCTAAGCTTTATCATCCTAAGCCCCGTACACCGAATAGGCCACAGACCCTCAGAGCCGTAGCCATAGAAAGCCAAATCCTGGGCAAGATCACTTGCCCCACAACCCTGAACGCCCCAGACCCTACACCCCAAACCCTATAAGCCCTAAAAATGCAAAGCCTCAACCCTCTAAGCCTTAACCGCATCCCTAAACCCTGGGCCCTAAACCCTAAAAGCCTTAACCGCCAAACTCTAAACCCCATAAGCCTCAGAAAGAACCCCAAACAACCCCTGAACCCCGGACCCTCAACCCTACAAACTCCGGAACCCTGCACCCTACACCCAAGCTTTCCTGGGTTCTTGTTCAGGGATTTAATTTAAGTTACCATACTAGACCATATTACTTTCTATAGATCCCTGCTATGGCAACTTAGATTAAGTCCAATACGAGCTCAGAAGCTCTATGCTCTCGTAATGCACCCAAATCCTACACCTTAAACCCTAAACCCCAAAACCCTAAACCCTAAAGCCTAAACCTAAAACCCTAAACCCTAAAAGCCCTAAACCCTAAACCCTAAAACCCTAAAACACGAAACCCTAAACCCTAAACCCTAAAGCCTAAACCTAAAACCCTAAACCCTAAACCCCCAAACCCCAAAACCCTACACCCAAAACCCTAAAACCCCACAAACCCCTAAAAACCCTAAACCCCAAAACCCTACACCCAAAACCCTACCCCTAAAACCCCTAAAACCCCCAAAACCCCTAAACCCTAAACCCCAAACCCCAAAGCCCTAAACCCTAAACCCTAAACCCCAAAACCTCAAGACCCTAAACCCTGAAGCCCAAAATCCCAACACCCAAAACCCTAAACCCTGAAGCCCAAAATCCCAACACCCAAAACCCAAAACCCAAAAAGCCCCCCAAAACCCCAAACTTTCCAACTTTCCGGGCACCTTCAAGGCCGATGCGTGCCAGATGTGAAAGAGACCTCGGCGGCTTCCTCTCGTCTCTGAAGGGGGCAATACCTTTTTAGGATTCCTTATTATGATTTCCTTATATAAAAGTCCTTACAAAGGTAGGTTATTTGGGGTTAAGGTAGGGCTTGGGGTCTAGGTTTTAAAGCTTTTAAGGGGCAATAGGAGGGACACCTAGGTTTGAGGTTTAGTGATTGGGGTTGGGGTTTGGGGATTAGGGTTTAGGGACTATAGGGTTTAGGGATTAGGGTTTCGGAAAGTTTAGGGAGTATAAGGTCTAGAGTCTATAATTCAGGGGCAATAGGAGGGACCCCTAGAAGGGACTCCTAAGACCCAAAATAACCCTTACATACCCCTTATTTTGTCTCAATATAACCCCAAGGGTCCCTTTAAGGGTCTCTCCTTTAGCCCCTTGATTCTCTCCTAAGCCGGCTGCCGGATGAAGCCCTAAAGCCCTAAATGAAAAAGCTCCCAGTTTAAAAAAAAAAAACCTAAACCCCTTAACCCCTAAAGCCCTATAAAGCCCTAAAGCCCCTCAACCCCCAAACCCTAAACCCCCAAACCCTAAACCCTGGACCCCTAAACCCTAAAGGACTAGAGCCCAAAAACCCTAAAGCCCTAAAGCCCCAGAGCCCCCAGAGTCCGGGGAAAGAGACCCCCTTCACCCTACTAGATCCCCTATAGATCCCTTTTGGAAGCCCTGAAACGGAACCCTAAGGGCCTTATACATCCCCTGTAGATCCCCTTTAAAGGAAGCCTTGAAAAGGAACCCTAGAGGCCTTTTAAGGAAGCCCTTAAAAGCCGCCCTAAAAGCCTGAAGAATACCCTGTAGATCCCTTTAAAGGAAGTGAAGGCCTTTTAGATCCACTACAGATCCCTTTTAAAGGAAGCCTTTAAAAGGAACCCTAAAGGCCGTATAGATCCCCTATAGATCCCTTTAAAGGAAGCAGGAACCCTGAAGGCCGTCTGGATCCCCTATAGATCCCTTTGAAGGAACCCTTGAATTTAAAGGAACCCTTAAATTGAAAGGAACCCTCCTAGATCCCTTTAAACGGAACCCTGATAAATCCCTTTAAAGGAACCCTGATAAATCCCTTTAAAGGAAGCCTTAAAAAGGAACCCAAAATTGCCTTACAGATCCCCTACAGAGCCCTTAAAAGGAACCCCAAAAGCCTTATAAATCCCCTACAGATCCCCTCTTAAAGGAACCCTGAAAAGCCACCCTAAAGGCAGAGAAAGAGACCACAGCCAGATGCATAGCCTTTCGGCTCGCTCCTGGGCCGCCGGGAGCTCGGAGTTGCCAGTTATAAGCTTTCGGGGTTCAGGGGTTTAGGGTTTAGGGGTTTAGGGGTTTAGGGTTTTGGGGATTTTAAGGTTTCGGGGTTTAGGGTTTCGGTGTTTAGGGCTTTGGGGGTCTCGGGTTTAAGGCTTTGGGTTTGGCGGAGCTTTTCATTTGGGGTCTAGGGCCTGTAAAGTGGCAGATAGGGTCCAGGGTTCAGGGTCTTGAGGGTCCCTGGGGTTGAGTTTAGGGCCTTTCGGGCTTTTGGGGCTTTTAGTTTAGGGTTTAGAGCTCATCGGGTCTTTGGGGTTCAGGCTTTTAGAATGTTTTCCGACGGTTCGAGTAGAAGACTCTCAAGCCTCGGCTTCAAAGCTCGACAAGGATGTTTCGAAGAAGGGTCTATAGGTTTAGGGTTTAGAGTTTAGGGTTTAGGGTTTAGGGTTTATAGGGGTGTATAGGGGTTTAGGGTTCTGATTCGAGTCTGTCCTCAAAGCAAAGCACTTGAAATACCACGCCGGCGGCTTTCAGTTGTCAAAGCTTTGAGCGCTTTAGGGCTTTAGGGTTTCGGGGTAGGCGTCAGGGGCCGGGATTTAGGGTTTAGTGGTTCAGCTACTCCTGGAAAGGAGTCTAATTACAGCTTATGGCCTATTGCCGTGACAGGAGGTGGGCGGGATTGATACGGATATGCCCAAGGATATTTGCAGCACAAGACCATCCATTTCCGTTCAAACGAAAAAACTCTCCTGCTACAACAACCGCAAATTCAGCTGCTTGCAAGATGAAACTTCATTGCAGCACCCCACCCCCCTCCCAATCGGTACCCCAAAATAAACCCCAAGCAAGAGGATCCGAGCGGATAAAGAGCCCCAAACAGGGCAAAAGCAAACCCATATGAGAGCTGTCTAGCTGTAAAGGGGTTCTTGCTATCATTACACGGAGCTATCTCTCCCTACCCTACTAACCCCCAAGTCTCCCATTATAACAGTAGGGCTGGCACCTTCAGGTATGTAAGCTCTTGAGCAAACAAACCCTAAACCCTCCCGGAACCCCGCAAAAAAATGCATAGCCGCATAGTATCGGGCCCGTAGTAATTAGAACAAGGCTTTTGGGGGTGTGTATATGCGAAAATTATATGGTAAGGACACCCCAAAATAGTAGTGGAAATTATTCAGGCCCTAAACCCTCAAACCCTCAACCCTAAACCCTAAGCCCGAACTTCCTGAACCCCTCAACCCTAAGCCCCAAACCCTATATGGGGGTTCGAAAATAGGGACCCTAATACAGTACCCTAAATAGTAGGATCCTTCTCATAAGGACCCCAAAATACGGTATCCCCCCCATATTTTCGGAATCTCCCATATTGGAACCCTAAATCCTAAACCCCTGAGTCCAAAACCCAAAACCGTTCAAACCGTAAAGCCTAAAAGGGGAGGAAGAAGGGTACTACAGGAACTTAGGATTTTCGTCATCTCAGACCAAAGTGCCGGCAGGCGAAGGAAACTCCCTGCGCCGGCAAAGCGAAGAAGGCGAAGAGCATGATCTGCCTTTAGGGTTGCGTTTTAGGCTTTAGGGTGTAGGGTTTAGGGCTTAGGGCTTAGGGATTAGGGATTTAGGGCTTAGGGCTTAGGGTTCAGGGCTTTGGGCTTAGGGCTTAGGGTTGCCTTTGAAGGGATCCATAAGGGTTCCGTTCAAGAGATCTATAAGGGATCTATCAGGGGATCTATAAGGGAGTAGGGGGCTTTGGGGTTTGGGGGTTTAGGGGTTTAGGGGTTTGGGGGTTTGCGGGTTTAGTGCTTTAGGGGTTTAGGGATCAGGGTCAAGGGTTTAGTGTTAAGGGTGTAAGGGTTTAGGGTTTGAAGGGGCGCGTTGTGGGTTTGCAGAGGGTATCTGCCTCCGGGAAAAGGGTTTAGGGTTTAGGATTTGGGGTCGACTGCGACTCGGAGCGAGAAGCGTCCCACTTACAGCATCCATCGTAGCTCCTTTTCGAATTGTCTTAGTCTTTTTTTGGAATTTTGTCTTGGGTAGGGCCTGTCTACTATGGTGCGAGCAGATGTGAAACCGGACAGTAGAGGGATAATGTACTCATGCATCGGAGCTCGACATGAATATAAGGGCCAAAATGATCCGTAGAACGTGGGGGCCGTTTAGGAATGCCCGACAAGAGTAATTAGTCTCAACTTTGCAAGATGCACTCACCAACCCAGCCACCTTCAAAAGTAGAGCCCCGGAAACCTGGAATTACAAGACCCTAAACCCCAAACCGCCTGAACCCTAAACCCTAAACCCTGAACCCTAAACCCTACAAGCCACAAAGCCCTTGCGGTCTTTCACACTATGCCCTCTACATTAGGATGGCCAAGGAGCAAAATCAGGAC